TCGAAGCTTTTGGCATTATTAACAGCAAATACACATAAAAATCCTTCACCGGTTCGCATATACTGATCGCGCATGGCGCTAAAAAACAAAATTTGAAAGACGGAAGGGACAATAGCATACCTGTACTCTTCTTGACCGGCAGTATCCAAAATATCAAGCATGCACGTTTCGCCATCAATATTTACCTGCTTCCTATAGGAATCTTCTGAAGACACAAATTATCGGGGGAAAAAAACCACCAATTGTTGGGTCGTATTCATCGACGAAACTGGTTGAAAAACAATTAAGCAAGATCAAAACATCTTACTGATTTTGGATAAGCTGAATCGTTAGTGCACTCTTCCCAACACCACCAGCTAAGTACCAACAGTGTATCAAAATGCATCACTACGTTACCTCCAACAACAACGAGTTTGTACTCAGGCATCTTATCTACGACTACCCTATTGTCTTTCAGCAATGAAAATCGACACATGCACACCCGATATTAGCCAACCTAAGATAGCTTGTTTGATGCGGTTAAACAAATTAAATGTCTTCTAAGATTGAGTCACATAGTATGAATGGATTACTTACGAAGACAATAATCTGAATGCTGAATTTTATGTCTGAAGTGCAGACATGTTCTTGTTTATCAAAGCTATTTTTTAAAGCCTATTTTTATGATTTAGTTATTCACAACGGCTTTAAATGTATTACAAGGGTTATTAGAGCGTCATGAGAAATTTGATTAGTAACGGAAGATTACGTTTTAGCCTATGTTGTTGCTTGAACTATAGACCACACTGCATGGGGAAGACGGCTGCCTGTAGTACCTCGAACCTTCTTACTAAATGGAAGAAGACATTACTATGAGCTAAATTTAATACTTTGTTTATGCGACCACATGAAGTTTGTTGATCACTTAGTCCTTCTACGCGTGGGCTGGCCTTCGGGCCATGCCCAGGCCCATTTTCCTCTCGTCTTCAGAATGCATGTACCCAGCTGCACTTACTGGCTTTTTATACCGACTAGGAAGTCTCGGAACGCTACACTGGTGGAAGTGGAAAGCGAACTCGGCGCTTTTCAATGACTTATGCTCGAGGTGGGGTTTTATCTGAAGCTTGTTCTTCTTCGGTCGTTCGTTAAATGCGACATGGTGTTCGGGAAAATCGACTGCCCACTAGACACCGTTATCTTACTGGCACCCTACGTTTCTGTTGATACACTTTGCCAATTAATCGACTGATTTCCGAAAAAGACTAGCATGAACAAGCCGACGAGCAATGGCTCGATCGGATAATGCAGTGGTTCAGTATCTTTAAATCGCACAGGATCTGGAGCCGTATGTCGCTTGTTCTTGGTGTTGGTGCCTTGGTCTTGAATAGCTATGAGCCTGATAATCTGGTGGACATCAAAATCGAGTTCCCTTGGCCTGAAATCCGAAACCTCTCTTTTCACAACAAGAAGTTTATAATCCAACCAACAGACAAGACTGACAAGGAGTTCTAATTGTAAGTGAAGAAACCGAAGATTAATAATCGCATTTTGGCGTTGTGCACCGGCAATCATGAGCTATACAGACGTGGAAGGAAGTCTAGCTCCATCGAAGTGCAACAGGTGAAGATCCAGGCAAAACGGAGACGTAAATTGAAGAAGGCGCATTTACATTGATGACGGAGAATCCCTGAATCCTCCTCGTGTTCCACTATCTGGAAAAGTTTCCTTTCGGAATTTTGCATACAAAATACATGTTTAGGTGTCGGGAATGATACTACGCTTCTCCTCACATAAGGGACAGTGGCTCATCCGGTTTTCCCTGTAACATGTCTGTTTTATATCAGAGTTCCACCGTCTACTCCTGGAAGCAATCGATGGTCAACAGGTGTATGCGGCTCCGAATTTGGTTGTCAGACCGAACGTAACTGCAGATGCAGTTGAAGCTACCGAGAAGACCAAGTACGGTTCCTCAGTCTCGTGTTGTCTGTCGACTGGCGCGGATGGCCCTTAGGTGCTTTCACGTAGTACCGAATATGTTGTGGTGGCTGGCGCGGGAGGTGTACCAAAGGGAAACGCCGAGGATGTCGGTCAAAAGAAGAGAGGGCAGTGTAATGCTTTGTTTACCTGACTACCTGACGTTTGGCGTTCACTTTAGGATTTGTCTGGTCCTGGTACACGTGGGCTGGTCTTCGGGCCATGCCCAGGCCCATTTGTCCTTACCGTATGACTTACTCTCACTTGACGCAGAAGAATGCTCTGAGGTCCTCGTCGAATTGGAAACCCTACAGAAGGAACAGTTTTAGGCAGCAGGAGAGAGCGATGAGGAGTTCGCGAGGAGTCTCCTGCTCCTAGTCAAATAGGTCTCCAAAGATTGCTGTCCTCTCAGGATTGATATTATAGATAGTGGCTCAGTTCAAAAGGGACGTGCATTCACCTGCTTTGGCAGGACTTATGGTTCATACG